TGCCTTGTCAGTCAGAACTGATGGTAAATTTGGGTTTCGTCCAAAAACCAACTGGTATGCGCTGTATCCAGAAATGTTACTGAGGCTGTTCTTGGCAATTAATGCCCAACTAAGTGCCGTTTCCCAGTCACAGTTCTTCTCAGATTTCACCTTTCTCATGATATTTGTCAAAGTCTGATTGTGGCGTTCAAGCAATCCATTGCTCCATGGACTCTCTGCTGCTGTGGTCTTTACTTCAATGTTAAAATTCTCACACATGTCTCTCACTTCAGCATTGTTGAATTCTCCTCCATTGTCACTTAAGAGTTTTTGTGGTGCTCCATGAATACTTATCCAATGCTGAATAAAGTTCTGAACAAACACTGATGATTGCTTACTTCTAATAATAGCTCCAGCACTAAATCTTGTAAATTCATCAATAATGTGCAAATACCACATGCCCTTTCCAAGTTCGTGTAAGTCAACAGCCACTGTCTCATTAAAATCTGTAGCCTTAGGAAATCCAAATGCTGGCTTAGTTGGTTGTTTCCTATACCTTTCACATGTTTCACATTTCTCAACTATTTCTGTTAGTGTCTTCAAGATGTCGGGATCTTTATTCCCTGCATTTTGAATAAGCCTCTGTAATCTTTCCGCTGTGGCGTGTCCAAACTGCTTGTGAAGCTTCTCCAGCGCTTTCTTTTGATCCTTTTCACCAATATTTTCTTTTATGAAGAGTGCTTCTGAATCTAACTGTTCAACTGTACACTGCTCCAGGCCACGATCTGAAGTTTGTTCAGCAGGAAAATCTCTTTGTCCAACTAGATCAATGCAATAATGTCCAGTTGATGTCAGTTCTAAGTTCACTGGTTTCTGAAACATGATAGCTGTGTCATTTGGTAAATCAAGAATTAATCCAGCTTTCTTCAGTGATGGTTTTCCAAGCAAAAGAGGAATGTCCGATTCTACAACTTCTGTGTTTATAGTGCACCGAGTGTCACCAATTACTGCTGGTATCATAACATTGGATGATGAGAAAACTTTCACTCCATCTCCAAATCTAAAGCTCTTATTGCTAGGATTTGAAATAATTTCATCCCTTTCCTGACTACTGAGTGTCTCTATGTATTGGTCCAACCATTGCTGTCCACACACTGTACTTGTACAGGCAGTGTCTAATACTGCACATCCCAATGCTTCTGTTAGTAGAATTTTGTTCTCCGTACTTTGCTCCTTTGTAAACAGTGTCAAGTTACATTGCTCTGTCTGTTCTTCTGTTTCTATCATTTTCACTTCCTCATTATTTCTTGGTTTCTCTTGGTGTGGGCAATCTTTAGCCCAATGGAAAGTTGACTGACAAATTACACATCGGCTGCGCTTTCCAAACCTGTTAATTGGATTCGTTCCCCTTTCAGGTGTATCATTTCTATTACCACTGTAAGCTGAACTGTATCTGTCACGTGGCTCATTCCTGTACCTTGGACCCGAGTATCTCTGTCCTTGTTGACGTCCTCTATAACCACTCTGGCTATTTCTTGTGTAATATGCTGATTCCTGTTTCACACATATGGCACTGTCAGAATCCTGACTTTTAACGTTACCAAATATTCTCTTCAATGCTGATTTCATAGATTCAAAGTTTCTATCGTTAGCTGCCGTCAAAACTAACTGTCTTTCTTTCTGAGTCAATCCTGATGAATCAAGCAACTTGAATGAGAGTACTGAATCTGGCAAAACCATCTGATATTTCTTACACTGGGTATATCGCCGTTCATATTCAATGATAAATTCTGACATTGTCATTTCTTCAGCCTTTGTGAAACTATCAAAATCCCTGTATGCCGTGTATGCTAAGTCAACAGTGTCCCTCTTATAAAGTTCATCAAGTGCTTGGACAAGAATTTTCAAACCCCGTTTGGAATTCAAATCTTTCACATCAATTGCCATTGCTTTTGCCCTAGCTTGTCCCGTAAGTGATCCCAGTGAGACTGCGAGTGCCTGTTTTTCCTCTACAACCTCGGTCATGTGACACCATATTTCAAGTTCGTTTTTCCACGTCTCATATTCCATCTCATTTGTCAAAGTCGGGGGATTCTTGTAACCATGTGCCATATTGCTAGTCCCGTTTTCCCTCAACCACGCTCTGCTACCAATGTTAATTACCTTTATGGCCCTTTCCACTGTTGGCCCTGGTTAGCCCTTCTCTCATTCTACACACCACTGACAGTTCATATCAAATCCCCGCCATGCGTAAACACGCTGCTTCCTCTCACGCATGCGCACACGTAGTCAAGTTCAGAGGTCACTTCCAGTACACTCGAATGTAAACATACCACACAATGTGGTTAGGACTGACATGTTATCAGTGACTAGGTCCAAGTCGGCAAAGACTGGGAGTATGATCCAAACTGCCGTTCATTATGAACAATTGTGTCCAGATGAAATGAAAAATCTTCAGTTGGCTGATGATGATATTGCACTCATCTACGAGGCCAGAGCTAATAATGTCAAACCACAGTGGAAAGAGGTGTCCGCCACCTCGAGTGCTTGTAAGGCTCTGTGGGGACAATATGATCGGTTGTCTATTAGACAAGGGGTACTCCATAGGAGGTGGGAGAACAAAGATGGCAGACGATGGCACTGGCAGATTGTCATGCCAACTTGTAAACGTCGCCTGATCCTCACCCATAATCATGATTCTCCTTTAGGAGGTCACCTGGGGGTGCAGAAAACTCTCCAAAAAATCCAACAGTCTTATTATTGGATTGACATGAAAAGAGACATTAGACAACATTGTACCAAATGTGACAAGTGTGCTGCTCGTAAAAGACCCTCGAAGCAGAGAGCACCTATGAAGCAGTATGTAACTGGCTCAGCTATGGAGCGACTTACTACTGACATTATGGGGCCGCTCGATCGTACACAGTCTGGTAACAAGTTCATTTTGGTGGTTACAGATGTCTTTACAAAGTGGACTGAGGCCTACGCCATGCCAAACATTGAGGCTAAAACAGTAGCCAAGAAGATAGTGGAAGAGTGGGTTTGTCGCTTTGGTACACCTGCACTAATACACAGTGACCAGTGCAGACAATATGAGGCTACTCTCTTCCAAGAATTCTGTAAGTTGCTTGGCATTGTGAAAACAAGGACAACAGCTCTTCGACCGCAAGCCAATGGCCAGGTTGAGCGTTTTAACCGTACCTTGGGTGCCATGCTCTGCATATATGCAGATGGGAAACCAAAATCATGGGACAAGCACCTTCCCTATGTCATGGCAGCTTACAGATCTTCTAGACATGAGTCTACTGGTTTTACGCCAAATGAACTTACATTGGGTAGGGAAGTCCGGTTACCAATCCAACTTATTACCGGAAACCCAAATGAAAATGCTCAGAAGCATGACGAGTATGTTGAGAAACTCAGGGAGAGGTTTGAATATGCCTTTGAGTCTGCCCGCCGTAGCCTTAAGCATTCTTCCGAAATCCGGAAGAAAAGGTACGATGTGGGAACTAAAGAGTTTCGACTAAAGGTTGGACAACCAGTGTGGTTATATAATCCTGGGAAGGAGCTCCCATCCAGCAGGAAGTTCATTACTTGCTGGAAGAAGGGATGGGTGGTCATCAAACAGATTGATGATGTGACTTACCGTATACAGGATGGTTCAAATAACTCACCTCGGGTTGTCCATGTTGACAGACTTCTGCCCTATGAGGGAGATGATCCTCCAACATGGTGGACTTCTCAGTAATTCTCACATACTGTTAGTGTACTGTTATTTCAAATAAATCTGAAAACAATTATATTTCACTTGTTTTCCTACATATTGTCAGAGCCCTTTATACTTTAGTTTCATGAAGATATTAATATTACGGTTGCATTGTGGATGCAACAGATCAAAATGTGATCTAGGGAATGTACTGGCACGAAAGTTGAATGTTAAACAACATATCTTTTAAGTGGTAAAGATTTAAAATTTGGGCTTGATGTAAGCTTTCTAAACTATTTACTGGATATGGTTGGTTGGTATGGGATTCACTCTAGTTCTCACTGAGGAAGCTGATGATGGAATCTAGAATATAGAAAAGTGATAAGCACTGTTGAAGTTACAACATATCTCATGCAGGCGTTACTTACTCCTTATTTGCAGTCAGAAGGATGGCTGACATTCTCACCCTGGATGTTGATGAAGAGGAGATCAAGCAATGGGGATCGGTGCATCCAGAGGTGATGGAGGGGGCGCCAGGAATGAAATTTATTAAATTCATACCAAATATGGACTGCCCTGCCTGCCTTGACACTAAGACATTTGCATCGCGACGTGACTTTGAAGAACATTGGGCGCGAACGCATCACAGGGTGCATAAATCGTTTGCTTGCCCTGTAAAGAAGTGTCTTGATTGTCGTTCTTCACTAAAAAGTTTAAAATACCATATTGCGCACAAGCATTTAAATTCAAATGTTATTACCGCTCAGGTTGATAAGCTTTGCGCAGATGTGACTGTTGAAGTGGAACGAAATGAAAATTTCGTTGACCCTGGGGTTTACTGTTTGTCCTGGCAGACATGGCGACCCCGGGGCAAGAGGGCGGGTAAGAAGGGGAAATCAGCAAAAGCATCTTCCTCTTGCTCTGCCCTGTCTGTCCAAACGTCACAGACTGTCACGGAACCTAAGAAAGAATATGATTCAGTTCCTCTCAAATGTTCACTCCCAAATGTGCCATCTGTGTCAGATCTGCAGATGGAAATCGCAGCTCTAAGAGAGCGCAATACTGTGATGCAGCAGGCTCTTGCCGCTCACCATGGGGCACACTGGCCTACCTGCCTGGATATTCCCACAAACAGGCCCCAGCTTGATGAATTTATCGCCAAGGGCTGGGAGGCAATGGCCGTGCTACAGTCTGCCGAGGGTAGGCGATTTCAGCAGCAGCTTGACCAGCGTCGCGCTGCTGACGCCTTCATCCGAGGTATGGCACATGGCAGTGGCAGTCAGCCGGCATAATAATGTGTCTTGGAGAGGAAGTTTCCTTCTAATTTTTCTTGTAATTTCTTTTTATGAAGGCTCTTATCTTTTCTTTCATTGATCATCTTATGTTTTCTCTCTTGATTTCTTTGAGATGTATTCTTGTGTTCATTGATTCATGTGGAAAACAGCCAGACCCATATCCTGGAAAAGGACAGAACATTCTATTCAAGAACTGTGTGTGAAGAAACTGAACTGTGTTTTCAAGAACCAAAGATTGTGTTTTTCACAGACTGATAATTGTGCTTCACTGACATATTTCCTGGTGAAGAATTACCTTATTATAATAATAAGAATGTGTTTTCATATCTAAGGATATTAATTCTTGGATTTCCATTTCTTGGGATACATGTAAGTATTATAACGGTGTCCATTGATAATCAACAAGGTAAGAAGTTATAATTGAATGTAAATGATGTAATATAACATGTAATAAGTTGAATTATTGTTATTCTTGCACAACAAACCCTGTTCTTTAACTGCAGTTGTAAGGGCTAACTGCAAGAAGAAAAAAAAACAACCAAACATGAATATTTATAGTGGTATAAATATTAACAGCATGAATTTTTTTGCTACTTGAAATGCAATGTATAATACCATGTTTATGTAAAAATGTTAACTCGGGACAAGTCTTCTTTTAAAAAAGGGGCTATTGTAATAGTCAGGCTCGGTCAAAAACGATCAAGACCTTCGGTTTTCGTCCACGTTCCCGCGATCGTTTGAAGTTTTAATAGTTATTAAATATATGATTATTTATTATTACATACACGTCTTGTGTGTAAAAACTATGTATATTGTACGTATTAGATCAATTAAATGTTTCATAGTAATATTTAACAGTTATAGTTAGCTCCAGTGATCGGCTCAAATAGTCCCGCGATCTACTGGTGCTTACGTCATCAAAAGTTGGGTAGTTTATTCCGGAATTGTTTCATGCTCTAAATCCACTAAAGTAAATATATTTATTCCAAAATACTTACGTAAACACCTTCCTGGACATGTTATTGAGTAGATTACATCCATCCTAGATAATGTCACGTCGTATATTTGGTGTTTGGTCTTCTCGCTCTAACTTTTGGCGTCTTCTGCTACATGTATTTCCGGAAGTGACGTCACCACGAATATAATCTCGTTCCAAATCAGTTGCAGAAATAACAGACTCAACGTAAGTTGTAGTTTTTGGCCCAGCGAGTTTTTAGAAATTTTATAATGATTCCATAGACTTGTTTACAGTTTTTTAATAACAATTACCGTGCAGCATTATTGGCTCTGCCTTTGCGCATAGTAATTATTCTTTTTCGAGTAGGTTAAATAGAATTTGTAGAAATTATTTATCTAGAATCTAACTGTCAAAACTGACAAGCGTTAAAAATAGAGTACGACTTGCAGTTAGTTCATGATCATATTGAAATTGTAACTGTCATTATTAATAAGAACAACAACAAGTAAAGATTTCAATTGACTTTTATTATTTGTTATAGTTTTCTTTTACATCCGTTTTAACAATATCTCTTGGAAACTGACGGTTGGGATGGGACTGAAAACATCCTGACAACCACGTTTTCCCCACCCCCAACCCGTTACAGAAAGAATTACCACAAGGTTTTTATTATATCAGTGATGTCAAACCAACCAAATACGGTTATCAATTGTTTCTTATCAATTTACAAAAAGAGTGTAGTTATATAGTCTGGTCTCCTAGTAAAATTTACGAAGAACTTAATAAAAATGTTGAACATCGCTTTATCGATAAAAATAATAAAGAATATTTTTATTACCATTTAGGCTCATCTAAAGCAATGACTGGCCCCAGGTATTGGTGAGCTAGAGCCAATTTAACTTAAACTCATGACTATCGTTAAATCGCATAATCATTTTGGCATAAAAAATGCCCCCTGTAGTAGCAGTATAGGTAATAAATCTGGCTCCAGTGGAAGTGGTCCAGAACCCCCATTACCTATACTACTCTGACCCATGACCCACTTCTTCCCATCACTGACCAACCACCCCCCATCACTGACCCACCACTCCAGATCACTGACCCACCACTTCCCATCATTGACCCACGATTCCCCATCACTGACCCACCACTGCCCATCACTGACGTTTGGTTGGAAGTATTCTCAGTCCATCACTGACCCACCACTTCCAATCAATGACCCACCGCTCCGCGTCACTCCCCATCACTGACCCACCACGCCCAAGCACTGACCCATCACTCCCAATCACTGACCCACTTCTTCCCATCACTGACCCACCACTCCCTATCACTGACCCACCACTCCCCATCACTGACCCATCACTCCCCATCACTGACCCACCACTCCCAATCACTGACCAACCACTTCCCATCACTGACCCACCACTCCCTGTCACTGACCAACCACTCCCCATCACTGACCCACCGCTCCCTATCACTGGCCCACCACTCCCCATCACTGACCCACCACTCCCAATCACTGACCCACTTCCCAATACTGACCCACCACGCCCAATCACTGACCCATCACTCCCCATCACTGACCCACCACTACTCATCACTGACCCACCGCTTCCCATCAGTGACCCACCTCTCCCCATCACTGACCCATCACTCCCCATCACTGACCCACCTCTCCCCATCACTGACCCATCACTCCCCATCACTGACCCACCACTCCCAATCACTGACCAACCACTTCCCATCACTGACCCACCACTCCCTGTCACTGACCAACCACTCCCCATCACTGACCCACCAATCCCAAGCACCGACCCACCTCTCCCCATCACTGACCCACCACTCCCCATCACTGACCCACCACTCCCCAACGCTGAGCCACCACTCCCCATCACTGACCCACCACTCCCCATCACTGACCCACCACTCCCAATCACTGACCAACCACTCCCCATCACTGACCCAGCACTCCCCATTACTGACCCACCACTCCCTATCACTGGCCCACCACTCTCCATCACTGACCCATCACTCCCCATCACTGACCCACCACTCCCCATCACTGACCCACCACTCCCAATCACTGACCCACCACTCCCCATGACTGACTCACCACTGCCCATCACTGACCTACTGCTCCCTATCACTGGCCCACCACTCTCCATCACTGACCCACCACTCCTCATCACTGACCCACCACTCCCCATCACTGGCCCACCACTCCCCATGACTGGCTCACCACTCTCCATCACTGACCCACCGCTCCCTATCACTGACCCACCGCTCTCCATCACTGTCCCACCACTCCCCATCACTGACCCACCTCTCCCCATCACTGACCCACCACTCCCAATCACTGACCCACCACTTCCAATCATTGACCCACCATTCCCCATCACTGACCCACCACTCCCCATCACTGACCCACCACTCCCCATCACTGACCCATCACTTCCCCATCACTGACCCACCATGCCCATTCACTGACTCATCACTCCTAATCACTGACCAACTTCTTCCAACCACTGACCCACCATCCCCCATCACTGACCCACCACTTCCCATCATTGACCCACGTTTCCCCATCACTGACCCACCACTGCCCATCACTGACATTTGGTTTGAAGTATTCTCAGTCCATCACTGACCCACCACTTCCAATCAATGACCCACCACCCTCATTACTGACCCACAACTCCCCATCACTGACCCATCACTGACCCACCACGCCCAATCACTGACCCATCACTTCCAATCACTGACCCACTTCTTCCCATCACTGACCCACCACTCCCCAACACTGACCCACCACTCCCCATGACTGACCCACCACGCCCAATCACTGACCCATCACTCCCCATCACTCCCCATCACTGACCCACCACTCCCAATCACTGACCCACTTCTTCCCATCACTGACCCACCACTCCCCATCACTGACCCACCACTCCCCATCACTGACCCATCACTCCCCATCACTGACCCACCACTCCCCATCACTGACCCACCACTCCCCATCACTGACCACCCACTCCTCATCACTGACCCACCACTCCCCATCACTGACCCACCACTCCCCATCACTGACCCATCACTTCCCATCACTGAACCACCACGCCCAATCACTGACCCATCACTCCCCATCACTGACCAACTTTTTCCCATCACTGACCCACCACTCCCAATCACTGACCCACCACTCCCCATCACTGACCCACCGCTCCCCATCACTGACCCACCGCTCCCTATCACTGGCCCACCACTCCCTATCACTGACCCACCACTCCCTATCACTGACCCACCACTCCCCATCACTGACCCATCACTGACCCACTTCTTCCCATCACTGACCCATCACTCCCAATCACTGACCCACCACTTCCCATCACTGACCCATCACTGGCCCATCACTCCCTATCACTGACCCACCACTCCCCATCACTGACCCACCATGCCCAATCACTGACCCACCACTTCCCATCACTAACCCACCATGCCCAATCACTGACCCACCACTCCCTATCACTGGCCCACCACTCCCTATCACTGACCCACCACTCCCTATCACTGACCCACCACTCCCCATCACTGACCCATCACTGACCCACTTCTTCCCATCACTGACCCATCACTCCCAATCACTGACCCACCACTTCCCATCACTGACCCATCACTGGCCCATCACTCCCTATCACTGACCCACCACTCCCCATCACTGACCCATCACTGACCCACTTCTTCCCATCACTGACCCATCACTCCCAATCACTGACCCACTTCTTCCCATCACTGACCCATCACTCCCAATCACTGACCCACTTCTTCCCATCACTGACCCATCACTCCCAATCACTGACCCACTTCTTCCCATCACTGACCCACCACTCCCAATCACTGACCCACCACTTCCCATCACTGACCCACCACTCCCAATCACTGGCCCACCACTCCCCATCACTCCCCATCACTGACCCAGCACTCCCCATCACTGACCCACCACTCCCCATCACTGACCCACCACTCCCCATCACTGGCCCATCACTGGCCCACCACTCCCCATCACTCCCTATCACTGGCCCACCACTCCCCATCACTGGCCCACCACTCCCCATCACTGACATTTGGTTGGAAGTATTCTCAGGTGATAGGAATTCACAGTTGTACAAATGGACTGATTGTGTAAATATCCCGGTGAGCGATACAGGCCCCATGGACCTCTTGTTTTGTTACTGGAATGCAATTTCTCTTCACTGTTGCTGGCACCAGTCAAAGCTCCCCACTGTGATGGGTGACCACAACCATGCTTGGAGTACAACTCGCAACCGACTGACCATTTTGTTTATAATCAAGTGATGACTTCCGTGACGCCGAATATACACTTACCTCAGCTAATAATTATTGCTTTGTCAATTTGAATTCAATTTCGTATCAACTATCATATAATTGGTAGAGTAGGAATGTAAGGGGGAAGTTGGGTGATTTTATTAAACTGGTTCCATTGTTGGTGCGCCACGCAAGGTTAGCGTGATTTAGTTTAGGTAGACAGGAACCCAGTCTAGTGATTTCATGTTAGTCTGCAATCTCGATCCAGAGATCCAAAGAAAAAGGTAAATTCCAGAGCTCAAGATAAGCTGTGTATTTGCGTAAAATCACATTAAATAAACTGAACTACGCAGATTAATCAAATCCTAGCGTATCAAATACGCAACAAAAACTAAAATTTTTGCTCTTTAAATAAAAATTATGCTTATATTATAACTATTAGATAAAACGATTGCATATATTACAACTGTTAAATAACATGATTGTGTATCAGCCCATCGCCAAATTCACTTAACGTCCGTTACATTCGGAAAAGGGTTTGCGACAAACGGATAGATGCCAAATGAAAAGCACATCGTGCCTCGTCAGTATACATTATACATATTGTATCTTAAATCATGGGAAACGCAATCAAAATTAACCCGCTGGATGCTTAGGTTTTTTTCTGACGCACATTTTCCTAAGATCGGAAAAGTGCAGGTTGTGCGACAATTGCGCTCATGCGGGACTGGATCTACCTCCGGCTATAAGATTACGCAGAGTATTAAATTTCCTATCTGATGGTTTAACTGTA